AAAAAAAAAAAAAAAAAAAAAAAAAAGAAATTGGGCTTGGCCCTCAATCAGCACTCAGTAAAGGTGAGTTGTTTTTTTCCTTTCTTTTTTTTTTAAATTCGGAGTCTTGCTCTGTCGCCCAGGCTTGAGTGCAGTGGCACCATCTCAGCTCACTGCAACCTCTGCCTCCGATTCTCCTGCCTCAGCCTCCTAGGATTACAGGTGTGTGCCACCATGCCTGGCTAATTTTTGTATTTTTAGTAGAGACGAGGTTTCAACATGTTGGTCAGGCTGGTCTCGAACTCCTAACCTCATGATTCACCCGCCTCACCCTCCCAAAGTGCTAGGATTACAGGTGTGAGCCACCGTGCCCGGCCAAAGGTGAGTTGTTATTGTTGCTGGTGATGAGGTTATTATTATTATTATTACCGTGACTACTTTGCTGCTTCTGCTACTTCATCTGGAAGAAGGTGGCCTTGTACCTAGGGGAAAATCAGTAAATATCTTGGGAGTGAACGAATGAGTGACTGAACAATGCTCTTCTTCTCTTCTTCAAGGTAGGAGACCGGGTGATGGTGTTGAACCGATCAGGGATGTGGCAGGAGGAGGTGACTGTGGCCTCGCTCCATACCTTCCTGATGCCTGAGACCATGACCTTTGAGGAAGCCGCTGCCTTGCTCGTCAATTACATTACAGCCTATATGGTCCTCTTTGACTTTGGCAACCTACGGCCTGGCCACAGCGTCTTGGTACACATGGCTGCAGGTGACAGGGGGCCTCCCTTTATCACTCCTTACCCCACCCAGATTTCCTTCCAGGCCCCTTCCCTGCAGCCTGTCTGGATTGTTGTCATGGCAACACCAGGCTGCCTTGGCCTGTGGCGCCCAGAGGCCTCTGCAGTAGAGTTGCCGTGGTAACATTCAGGCACCAGGTCTAGTCTGGTGTGTTATCCTTAGCAACGTGCCCTCACCCCACACCCCCACCTCTCTAGCCACCCTCTCCATCACTTCTCAGTCATGGAAATTGGACATGGACCCTAAAATGAGCCTAGGCAAAGCAAAGGTGACGGGCTGAGTCCTTGGGAGGCTACAGTGGAGTGGTTGGTGGCCAGGGCAACTCCATATCCCCTGCTTACGGGTGTCTTGCTGCAGGGGGTGTGGGTATGGCTGCCGTGCAGCTGTGCCGTACAGTGGAGAATGTGACAGTGTTCGGAACAGCCTCGGCCAGCAAGCACGAGGCACTGAAGGAGAATGGGGTCACACATCCCATCGACTATCACACGACTGACTACGTGGATGAGATCAAGAAGATTTCCCCTAAAGGTGGGGGGCAGAACATGGGAGGGGTTAGGGAGGGACAGGACAGGGAGGGGAGCTGCAGATCTGTGAATCCTAATGTTCTTGGGTTCCCCTTTTCTATGACAGGAGTGGACATCGTCATGGACCCTCTGGGTGGGTCAGATACTGCAAAGGGCTACAACCTCCTCAAACCCATGGGCAAAGTCATCACCTATGGTGAGTCAGTGGGTCATGGATGGAGACAACATGTTAGGGCAGGAGGGAGGGTCTAAAGAGTGGGACATAGGGGTCCAGGGCTTTGGACTGAAGGGGTAGGGACTCAGGTGCTTTGTAGACGATCAGGGTTAAGAATGATCCTGTATGTTGCATTGAGATTGCTGATTCCTGGGTGCCAGCTCTTTTCATTCTCTGTCACAACTTATCACGTGAGTCATAGTAAATTCTATATTCTTTGAGATGGAGTTTTGCTCTTGTTGTTTGGTTCACTGCAACCTCTGCCTCCTGTGTTCAAGTGATTCTCCTGTCTCAGCCTCCTGTGTAGCTGGGATTACAGGCATGTGCCACTACACCTGGCTAAGTTTTTTTTTTTTTTTTTTTTTTTTTTTTTTTGTATGTGGGCGTTATTTACCCTGTCCTACCTCCCTGAGTTGTCTTAGGCAAGGTGCATTTTCATTTAAAAAAGTATTTCACACGACAAAATAAGCCAGGTATGGTGGCTTATGCCTGTAATCCCAGCACTTTGGGAGGCCAGCGCACGTGGAGCGCTTGAGCCTAGGACTTTAAGACCAGCCTGGGCAACATGATGTAACCTCATATCTACAAAAAATATGAAAATTAGCCAGGCATGGTAGCACTGTACTCCTGCCCGGGCAGCAGAGTGAGACCATGACTCAAACAAACAAATACAAAAAGATTAGACTTTTTTTTTTTTTTTTTTTTTGAGAGAGGGTTTCAGTCTGTCACCCATCCTGGAGCACAGTGGTATAATCTCAGCTCACTGCAACAGCCACCTCCCTGGTTCAAGCAATTCTGCCTCAGCCTCCTGAGTAGCTGGGATTACAGGCGCCCGTCTCCACGCCTGGCTAATTTTTTTTTTAAGGCCAAGTCTCACTCTGTCACCCAGGCTGGAGTGCAATGGCACAATCTCAGCTCACTGCATCCTCTACCTCCTGGGTTCAAGCAATTCTTCTGCCTCAGCCTCCCGAGTAGCTGGGACTACAGGCACGTGCCACCATGCCCAGCTAATTTTAGAATTTTTAGTGGAAACAAGGTTTCACCATGTTGGCCAGGCTGGTCTTGAACTCCTGACCGCAAGTGATTCTCTTGCCTCGGCCTCCCAAACTGCGGGGATTACAGGTGTGAGTCACAGTGCCTGGCCCCTAGATCAATCTTAGGTCAGCCAGGGTTGGTTTGGGCCTGGTAACCAGCAGTTTGAGAATTAGCCTATCATTCCCTGGCTCTGGTACGGAGAATCACAAGGGGATGACAGGGAACAGAGAGCACAGAGTCAGGCACACAGGGATGTGCCTGGCACCTCGGTTCACAGGCCATGTCACCTTGTCCCTCAGGAATGGCCAACCTGCTGACAGGCCCCAAACGGAACCTGATGGCCCTGGCCCGCACATGGTGGAATCAGTTCAGCGTGACAGCTCTGCAGCTGCTGCAGGCCAACCGGGCTGTGTGTGGCTTCCACCTGGGCTACCTGGAGGGTGAGGTGGAGCTGGTCAGTGGTGTGGTGGCCCGCCTCCTGGCTCTGTACAACCAGGGCCACATCAAGCCCCGCATTGACTCGGTCTGGCCCTTCGAGAAGGTGACTTGTGAGGACTTTGCCGGGAGGGCTTGGGTAGGGCTCAAGAAGGCTGGGGTCCCAAGGGGCTGATGCTTGGGGAGGAGGAGGGCTGCCTGCATCGCACTGGCTCTTGTTGCCCGGGGGCTGGATAGCACTGGGAGCCACAGCTTGCCTTCCTCCCCAGGTGGCTGATGCCATGAAGCAGATGCAAGAGAAGAAGAATGTGGGCAAGGTCCTCCTGGTTCCAGGGCCAGAGAAGGAGAACTAGGAGGAGGGGCTATGAGACCCGTGAAGGGAGAAGTCGGGAAGCTGCATTCTGCTGACCACCAGACTTGCATTTCAGCCTCTCATAGTGCTCTGCCCTCCCTCCCCCGAAGGTCTCTGTGGTGATGACCGTGCTCCCCTGCCCCTCCCTGCTTCCTGACCTCTGAAGAGGTTGGGAAGTGACCATTTGGATGTCTGGGCCCTGCCAAGGGGACAGGGAGGGTCAGAGGGAGGCTGGCTGCTTCCTGCCCCCACCCTTTCCCCGGGCCTGCTGTGCTGCTTTTGTGCCAAGGTTCGCCAGTCCCCACTGTTATGTTCTGTGAGCTTCCACCTCTGCCTCGTCTTCCCTCCCACCCTGCCCCGCCGCCTCCCCAAAGAATAGAAATGTCAGCTCAGGATATGGGGCCAATCTCTGTGAGTCCAGCATGTACCTGTCTCTCCCTAGTGTCCCTTCAGCCTGGGCCAACCAGCGCCCACCTCTGGGCTTGACCAGTCCCCACCTTGTCCTCTGTTCTCAACTTCTTAAGCACAATTGGGCTTCTTCCATCTCCCGGTTTTCTGCCATTCTTAACCAAGGCTGCCTCTTACAACAGGGCAGGAATCTGACCTACCCCCCTAGGTCACAACTCTAGGAGGGATACAGAGCCCCCACCCTTCACTGAGTTCTCTGGATTTGTTCTCAGTGCCTTAGCAATGAAAACCTGTGCTTGTGTGTGTGTGGTGGGGCGGAAGGAGGACCCTTCTCCCACCTCCTTCTCCACCCCTGTTCTCCCCAGTGCCTTCCTTGTTCTGGTGGAGCTGGGGTTTCACTCCTCCCCAGTCCCACAACACTGCCAAAAATCTGTGTGACATTGGGTGGGGGCAGCCCCGAGCCTCCTGGGGAGCAGGGCAAAAACAGGTGCCCTCATCGAGGTCTGTGCCATGTCCTGCCTGTGCGGTGGTTGAGGAGAAAGGCGGGGAAGCTTCCTCAGCCTTGCAGATACGTGTGGCATTTACCAGCCAGAGGTCTGAAAGGCAGTGCTGTCTGTTTCTTGTTCTGGGACCAAAGTAAAAATCCAAGCACATTCCCCTTGCAGTTAGGGGAGGCCCCACTGCCTTCTCAAAGCAGAGAGGCAGCTTATCAAACTCAGCCCAAAACTTTTGTTTACATGGGTGGGGAGATGAAGCAGGGGAGTACAAAGGGGGATGGTCAGGACCTGGGCCACTGTGACCAAAATGGGGACTTCCTGGGTAGGGAGGTCACTCCCTCTGCTCACTGAGCTAGGATTAGGGAGGGTTATCGCCCCAACCATTGCAATGGGAGGTGGGGGGACAGGCTCAGCCTCCTCATTGTCTAAATGAGGACTAAATGTGTGAAGTGCGATTTCTGCTTTTGTGTACCCCACCCCATTACCACAGCTGCCTTTGTGTTTGTGTCAATAAAAAGCCAAACCCTGGCTCCTGCTCTTTGCCTCTGAGAGTGGAGGGGAAGGTGAGCTCCTGGAAGGCCAGCTCTGCTGGTGGAAGATCTGGGCTTCTTCCCATCCCCCTGCCTCCTTCCATTCCCAAACCAGGTTTCCTTTCATGAGTGAAATGAGGAAGAACGTCATGCCATGCTGGCTCTTTTTACTGTTCTTGGCAGTGTTTCACAATGTGGAATCCCTCCCCAGTGTTGGTGAACGTAAAGACCTCCTACGTGGGCACCCAAGTCCAGCCCAGCATGAGAACCTTGGGAGGGGGCAGGGAGGATGAGAAGGGAGGCCCTAGCCTGACTCTGAAGTGAAGACTGCTAGGCCCTGCTGTCCTTGGGGTATGACTGTCAGGGCTTCTACCTCCCCGCCCCCCCGCGTGGGCTTCTGGAAGTGGATCTCCAGGACGTCATGCAGCTCCGGGCCATCCAGGACATCAGGAATGTTGAGAACCAGCACAGAGTGGGACACTGGCTGTGAGCTGATCTGGAAAAGTAGCCAAGAGATGACAAAGGCTCGTGGGAGTAAGGCGCAGGGGGAAGGGGGCAGGGCAGGCAGTGCCCCATGGGGGTATGGGGTCAGGAGGCCTGGAGAGGCTGGTGGTGGGTAGGTCAGTGGGGTTTGGGGTCTCTGATCCTTCATTGGGCAAGTTCCTGACAGGCAGACAGGTTACCCAGCCCAACCCCTGTTCGCCACTTTCCTACTTACCTCAGCCTTCTGGATCTCCCCATTCATGCAGGGAGAGACTCTCAGAGGGACTTCCTGCCCACCCAGTGGCACTCTGAATTGGCCAATCTGGCACAGGCGCTGGGCCACTGTGGGGAACAAGGAGGGGTGGACCTTTAGCATCAAGTCCTCTCTGCTCCCTGAACCCTCATCTTCTGCACCCTGTACCCTCATCTCCCCTGCAGGAGGCCAGCATGACCCTCACCTCCATCCTTAGCAAAGTCCAGCATGACACTCCCTTGCAGCAGCTCCCGAACCTCCACGTCGCCACCCCCGTTCTTAGTCTTGCCAAAGAAGATCTCCAGCTTGTCCAACAGCTCCTCCTCACTCAGACTGAGGTTGGCAGGAAATCCACTGACCAACACCCTCTGGCTCCTCATCTGGCTGGACACCTAGCAGGAGACAGCAAGGGGTGGTCCCAGACACAGCACCACTTCCCCAGCCCCAGATGCATGGCACCCTTTGCATGTCCCAGGATTCTGCCATTCTGTCACCTGGATGGTGGTGACCATGGGCAGCTCCAAGGGCTGGACCTGCACCCGCAGCCGGCACTCCTCCATGTCGATCGTGTGCTCCTTTTGTTGCAGCACCTGCTCAGCCACTGGGTGGTGGGGAAACAGGGTCAGTACTGGGAATCCTCCCCACCTGTCTCCTGACACTCCCCAAGAGCTCACCTTTGGGGTCATCGAAGGTGACCAGAGCAGAGCCTGCAGGCAGAGGGCAGTGGATCCTCAAATTGGAAACTAAAGACTTAGGCATTTCCCTGTCCTGCTGGGTGTGTCCTCGGAATACCAAGGGGATCTTCGGCACTGAAAATAAGACCTGGAAGTGGGGAGGGGAGTAGGAGTGTTTCTCATTCCCACCTAGGAGGAAGGCATCCCCAATTCCATTCCACTGATACTGATTGCTGGAGATAAATACATTTACTGAAAGAAAACCCGGATAAATGAGTGGATGAGGCCCGGGCAGGGTGGTTTACCTCTGTAATCCCAGTACTTTGGGAGGCTGAGGCGGGAGGATCACCTGAGGTCAGAAGTTCAAGACCAGCCAGACCAATATGATGAAACCCCATCTCTATTAAAAACACAAAATTAGGCCGGGCACGGTGGCTCAAGCCTGTAATCCCAGCACTTTGAGAGGCCGAGGCGGGTGGATCACGAGGTCAAGAGATCGAGACCATCCTGGTCAACATGGTGAAACCCCATCTCTACTAAAAATACAAAACATTAGCTGGGCATGGTGGCACGTGCCTGTAATCCCAGCTACTGAGGAAGTTAAGGCAGGAGAATTGCCTGAACCCAGGAGGCGGAGGTTGCACTCCAGCCTGGGTAACAAGAGCGAAACTCCGTCTCAAAAGAAAAAAAAAAAAAAAAAGAAGAGTGGTCTGGTCCATACCGGGCAATTTACATACAACATCTTAATTTGTCCTGGGAGGCTCATGCCTATAATCCCAACACTTTGGGGGGCCAAGACAGGCGGATCACCTGAGGTCAAAAGTTCGAGACCAGTCTGACCAACATGGAGAAACCCCGTCTCTACTAAAAAAAAAAAAAAAATACAACTCAGGAGGGAGGAGGAGGAAAAAAAAATACAACTCGGGGTTTCAAACTCCCAACCTCAGGTGACCTGCCCACCTTGGCCTCCCAAAGTGCTGGGATTATAGGCGTGAGCCACTGCACCCGGCCTAATTGTTGTATTTTTAGTAGAGACAGGGTTTCACCATGTTAGTCAGGCTGATCTCAAACTCCTAACCTCAAGTGGTCAGCCCACCACGGCCTACCAAAGTGCTGGGATTACAGGTTACAGGTGTGAGCCATCATGCCCAGCCTCACCAGCTCAACCAGACAACACCAGGTCTCCCACCTTACCTTGTCTTTGGGGGAGTCCCCGAGCTCCTTTCTCTGCTGCTGCAGCTCCTGCAGCCTCATCTTGAGTCTGGCCTGCTCTTCCAGAAGGGCATGGAGGGCCTGCTGGAACAGAAGGAAACAACCAGACTTCCACCTGCCCTTCCAGAGGAGACTCCACAAGCCCAGGGGAATGGGGGCCTATCCTGGACTCTCCAGAAGCAAAGTTGATGCAAAGCTCCAGAATAACCCAACCCCCTTATGCTGCCTGGGCTGATCCTGGCCCCCTCCACTCAGGGCTCGGCTGGCATCATCTCAGCTGCTCTTGAAAGGGCAGGAGGCTTTGTAGCAGCCATGATTTGTTCCTGATCACAGATCTAGAGTTCAACAAACACCGAGCTCCTGCTAGGAAGTGCTGGGCACTGACAGAGCAGTGGAAGATAAGGGTACATAGCCCTCAGGCCTGCCAAACAGTGCTCAAGGTAGTTGACAATCACATGCCTGATTGTGAAGGGCAGCCAGAGTTTGGAGGAGGGACAATCCAAAGGGGTTAACCCAATTAGGGACATCTCCAAGAGGAGAAGAGACTAGTTGCAAAATGTCATACAGTAATACTGTTAACATTTGCTAAGTACTTACTATATGCCAGGCACCATGCTAAACCCCCTGATGAATTATTTCATTCAATTCTCACAACAGGGTATCTATCTTATTTATTTATTTATTTATTTATTTATTTATTTATTTATTTATTTTTTGAGATGGAGTTTCGCTCTTGTTACCCAGGCTGGAGTGCAATGGTGCAAATCTTGGCTCACCGCAGCCTCCGCCTCCTGGGTTCAGGCAATTCTCCTGCCTCAGCCTCCTGAGTAGCTGGGATTACAGGCACGCGCCACCATGCCCAGCTAATTTTTTGTATTTTTAGTAGAGACTGGGTTTCACCATGTTGACCAGGATGGTCTCGATCTCTTGACCTCGTGATCCACCCGCCTCGGCCTCCCAAAGTGCTGGGATTACAGGCATGGGCCACTGCGCCCAGCCTATTTATCTATTTATCTATTTATTTATTTATTTTTTTAAACGGAGTCTCACTCGGTCGCCCAGGCTGGAGTGCAATGGTTCAATCTCGGCTCACTGGAACCTCCACCTCCTGGGTTCAAGTGATTCTCCTGCCTCAGCTTCCTGAGTAGCTGTGATTACAGGCATGCACCATGACACCCAGCTAAGTTTTGTATTTTTAATAAGGATGGGGTTTCACCATGTTGGGCAGGCTGGTCTTGAACTCTTGACTTTATGATCCACCTGCCTGGGCCTCCCAAAGTGCTGGGATTACAGGCGTGA